AATTGGGGTGTTACAATTCTCCCCTCCTTAAAAAAATTTCGTCCTCGAAATTCATTCATTTCACATAATTGCATAAATGAAACTTCCATCAGTTCTTTCAAATCTATCAATAGCTTTTATAAAAGTACGATTACTCCACTTATCCTTAACCAGCTGAGCATACATTCTTATCATAAATTTTTCCTTATTTCAATAAAAGAATTTAAAATTTTCTCGAGTAATCAATCTCTTCAGAATTCTCCCTCAGTCCAAGTAAATAATCAGAACAACTTTATTCTTGTGAAATCAATTCAGCATTGGATACGTGAATAGGCTCGTAGAGCAGCAACATATCTCAATTTCATTTCCGGAGTCGAGTCAGAAATTCTCAGATGAATAACTCTCACATGACTCATGAGATACTTTACAGCGTTTAGACAGATGTTACTGGTATTCCTTTTTGTACAAGTATAGCCTTAGCATATAGAAACTTTGGTTTACTCAATACAGATAGGGACTCAGCCCTGGAGTTCCGGCTCAGAGAGGTACGATTGCAGTCTAGGGGCATGTACTGATCAGACATATTTTGACATTCGACCGGCCGGTCTAACTTGAAAATTTTTGACTCAAACCATAGCTCTGATACCACTAAATGTAACCCCCCAGACCGATGCAGGTAGCCCGATCCGATCCAGGAAGTCACATTAGGGCCACCGGAGCGACCCACTGTAAAAATAGCGGAAAATTTAAATCTTTTTATCCGAACATGTAAACTTATAAAATCATTTGTCACTATTTAAAAATAAAACATATTTCCAGACTCGTATATAAATCAAAATACAATTACATGCCCCCTATTCACATGTACCATACTCTGCTACAACGCCGGAAAAACTCCCTTACTGAAGTCGATAGATGCACTGGTACAATTCTTTTAACCTGAAAAGGTGAGTAATAGAGTGAGCTTCAAAAAGCTCAGTAATACAAAACTACCAGATGATGCTGAAAAACGTGCAGATACAGATAAACATATTTTCCTTATTGGTTCAGATATTTACAGATCTTTATGTTGAGCTGAGGTTCATTGATATCGCATGTAGTAACAAATAGTATTCATTTCAGATGGAAATATTTCGGATGTCTAGGTTCAGGAGATCAGAACAGGTTTTCTAGTGTGTTCCCAAAAATCATGTAACTTTTTAGATCTTTTTTAAAAACATATATATATACCCCATCCAACAAGTCCAAGTTGTGTAGGTTCCCCAGAACCATACACCCACCATCAAGTCCAGTTGGCCCTGAGCACACAGCCGAGGAACCGGTAAATAAGGCCCTGAGCACACAGCCGAGGAGCCTCCAGGTATACTTCCTCCAACATTACCCCCCAAGTAAGATATGTCCGTCCGTAAACAGATATATCAAAAATCAAAACATAAATCAGGTCAAGTATCATATCAGAAATCAGGTCAAGTAACAGATCAGAATCCAAGTCAGATATCAGATCAGAATCCATGTCAAGTATCAAATCAGAAATCAAATCGAAAATCAGGTAAAATATTCATGTGAGTAGGGAACACACCAGAATTTACAGATAGTATTCAAAGATATTGGATAATCTTAACAAGTAGGGGAACACGTATCTTTAGTATATCGATAGAATATCGGAATTATGAATCACTATTGAAAGAGTTCAATAACTGACAGAATCATCAGTTATTCAGAAAGTGACTTGAGCTGATAAGGAAGAAATGAAGGTTCAGGACATTTATATTATCTATCGATTGATCGAATTATCGGACAACTCTTAGATGAATAGTTTCCAGAACTAATGCCTGTCGATTGGTCAATTCATTGTTCTTCCAGGGTATTTACTCTTTAATACCACAATTCTTGTCCATAGACCATTTTCGGAATCATTGTTGAATAGATCTTCCAATGTCTTTATTTCATTTCCACACTTCTACAATATCATGAAATGCTGACGTACTTGATTAATTTGTTCAAACTCATTGTAATTGTACACTACGTAAACTCATCAGAGTTTCCAGACTTATCCAAGTCACTTACTAAATCCTCAGTCATTGAAGTTACCTATTTCATTTAGCAGTCATCTCTATTCCAGTTACTTCAGGATTTTCCAGAGTAATTCAAACGTTCCTGAATTTCAGATACATGTTGTACTTCCATTCCATTCAATTTGGTCTTCATGGTTGATTGTCGAACAAACTCCAATTCTTAGTACTGAATACAATCTAAAGCTGAGTTGAATACTTCCAAAATTTATCATCGAGCCAAACTTGAGAAGATGAACACATGTTCCAGTAATATCTATGTCATTCAGGTATTGACATAGCTTTAGGGTTGATCTATTCACTTGAATTGTTTTCCATTACCTTTAAAGGTAGTCCAATACTTATCTTACTTGGATTCCTTAATTAATCCAAGACATTTACTTAATTTAGGCCATAAGGGTATTTTGGTAATTTTGATGTTCAGTTTTATTCCATTCATTTCAGAGCTCGAGGATATTCAATCATTCTTGAGCTTGGTGATATTCTTGGGTCATTTCTATTACAGGGGTATTTGGTCATTTTATAGATTCACGGTATTTCAATATTTTCCTTCCATCCGATCTTATTATTTAATTCAATCTTATCATTTACTTCAGTCCTTTCGAACAATTCTGACAGCAGAATACCCCCGATAAATTACTCTTCCAGTATTTACTCATTATTCGAATATTTTCAGGTCAAGTGTCTTCTCAGACTTTACAAACGGAATATCATAAATTTTCCTGCACTAAGTCGGGATCTTAACAATTAAATCCGTACTTAATCGAGTTAAGTACGAATCCTCTAAGTATTTTCTCATTCAGAGTCATCTCAGACTATTCTACCTCTTAAGGGCATTTCCGTAATTTCTTAACCAGATAAGTTCGATATTAGCTCTTAACGAAAATAATATAATTAGAGATCCTATGATTAATTGCTTTCTTGAACAATCTCTGATCTTGAAATAATTCCCTTAACACACTTCTAGTATCTTGCATAAACCCTCTTGGGGTTAAAAACCGGTTATCCATAATGTCTACGTATAACTATCATTTCTTATGCACATCAATATTTTTATCAGATCAATATGTCTGTAAAATCCTCTTATCTAACTTCCATATTCCAATCTTGTCTTTTTATAACACAAGGGTATTTTCGTAATTTTACCCTACCGGAGTATTTTCATAAATTCACATCCAAATGCCTTTAACATTTAACCTTTGATGAAATAAATTATAAGTTACAGATCCAGGTTGATTTCTTTACCACTAAGCACATAACTTGTAATTTAATTCTAGCAATCCCTTAATTTCTTATAAAAGTCATCTGAACCATAATCAATTACTGAACCTTTTTACCGTATTCAGATCGAGTGTAGAACTTCATTAATTACACATATGAGACCAAACATTTCCATTCATGCATTTACCAATACCAACATGTTCTATAAAGCATAAAGAGGTAGTAAAGTATTACCTCGATTTCCGTGCAATACTGATCGACCATAAAAATTCCATTCGAACACCTTTGATCTTCAATTCAACTTCCAATAATTCCTCAGATACATATCAACATAAATTATATCAGAAACGGAGCTTAATTACGATAAACGGATCGAATCGGGTGATAAATCAGTGAAAGACGGCTTACCGAGTTTGAATTTGGCGAAACGGACTTCGGATTTGGATTCAGGACGTTGAAAGCATAAAATATGACTTTTCAGAAATTTGGAATTTTCGGTCAAAATCAAAGTCAACGGGTTTGACTGACAATTTTGAGGCCTTCGGGTTCGAATTTCGAAAAACGGACAGCGGAATCGGATTTGGAACGTCGAAAAATGTCAGGATAGGTATACTCGGTCGAAGTCAAAGGTCGTTTAATGCCCGATCAAAGCCAGTCAAAGTTTTGGTCAACAGTGGTCAACTCCGGTCAACGGTCAACGGGTCAAGGGTCAACGGTCAACGGGTCGGGTCAACGGGTCGGGTCGGGTCAACGGGTCGGGTCAACGGGTCGGGTCGGGTAAACAGGTCGGGTCGAGTTGTGACCGGTCAAACCGGTCAAAACAGTTCCAAAACCGGTCAAACCGGTCACTTTTCCCTTCCCCACGCGCAGTGGCGGCGCGTGGGGGCGCGTGAACAGTGATAAAATCCCGGAAAAATTTCTAAAAATTATTTTGAGCGATTTCGAGATACTTACAAAGCTCGGTTCACAATTTTGAACGGCGGAGAGCTCGATTTCAACAAATCGAGAAGTTTGACCGGTTCACCTCCCAACGCGCCGCCGCCGCCGGAGAAAAAGGAGAACACCGGTGGACTCGGAACGGCACAAGGAACACGATGGTGCGGGAGGTGTCGTAAACAGATGACCCGATCGTTGTGAATCGATGAAAAACCAACTAAAACCAAGTTATTACCGACGATACTTCCGACTGAAATTCACGACGAACGGCGATGATTCACGACGAAAGGTTTGAGGGGTTTTTGTTCCTCGGTTGACAACGAACACGATGGTTGTTTCGGCTCGTCGTTTGGAGGTCGGACGGCGAGTAGATCGGAGTTGGAAGTTGGGTTGCTGGAGAAGGGAAATCTGGAAAATTTCTGCTGCCTGCGCACGAGAATCAGATTTATAATTCAACATATTAAAAAATGGTTAAATCATGGGTTTAGCCACTAAACTTTCTGCACTTCTGAAAACGGTCTGCCAACTTTAGAACTTTACAATTTAATCCCCTGTTTCTTTCAAAATACCAAATTAAATCCACCAATTTATATTTTCTTAAATTTAGCCCCTAAATTGGGGTGTTACAGAAACAGAAGAGAATAATTTCATTGCAAAATATGTCAAGTTGTTTGCATCTATTTGTGTTATAAGAAAACAATAGTTTGCTTTAACAATCTTGCAAGGCTTAAAATGAACAATAGACAGATAACTAATCATTAGCATGTTTGTCTAAAGTTTTAACTTGCGTTTGAAGGGGTCACGTGAACACATGCCCTAACTATCACAAATTATGATGTAGGCTCTCTCACTTGGGGAGAGCATAGGAGAGCACCCCTCCTAAGTGCAATGGAGATCATTAGACTAAGCCATGAAACTTATTGATAGTATGCCAACCCCATCTAGGTAAGTATATTGCTATGTGGCTAGGTGTCTATTTTTTAGCTCCAACTTGTGGTTCTTACTCTTTTTTACTTAATATGGGATTAATGCTTCATCATGATTCTCTACATCCCTGTTGGCTGGTGAGGTTTGAATAAAGCTCCCAAACAAATTTACGAAGGGCATATAAAACTCGTAAACAAATTAGAATATGTTTCCCTGTTTCTTTATCTCACTAATAAAAAATGGTTATAAATCGACATGGACTCTCTTTCAATGATGAATAGTGTCATATGAAATAAGTTATATATCAGACATCAATTCTCTTTCAAATGATCATATTAGACTTTCATTTGCCAAAGATATCACAAAAGTAAGTTGTTTTTCATCTTCCTTAATGGAGTTTTATTTGTGTTTAATCAAAGAAAACTATTGCTAGCAATAAAATTGATGATTTTGTTTTGTCTGAAAATAATATTTGAATGTTAAAACATAACCAATGTATCTAAACAAAGTTGTAGATGAATGCGTCATGTATGAATCGAATTGTACTAAACTTATAGTTGATGAACCATGTTTTGTTCCTTGTTCTAATTTCTAGGTTAGGTAAATGATCAGAAACCATGTCACATAAACTTTCGAGATGGATGCCTTACTTGTAGATAATTCAAACCTTCAAACCCCTAGACCCTATTCCAATTAGGTGCATAAACAAAAAACCATGTCACATATAAACTATTGAGATGGTAATATTTACAGAAAATTTAAGCCTCAAACCATATTTCACTATGTATATGATCAGTAACCATTGCAGATAATTTTATCCCTAATCCTAATATAAATAGTCAAACCAAACAATTTAGCTAAAAGATTGGACGAGGGCTACATGAACACAGGCCCCAAGTGCCATAAATTATGACGTAGGCTCTCCCACTTTGGATAGACCTTAGGTGAGCACTCCTCCTAAGTGCAATAGTTGCAAGATGGATCTTTCATTTATCTCCTCTTTTATGTTGACGATATGTTGATCACTTCGAAGAGCCAAAACGAGATAGACAAATTAAAGGCTCGGTTGAATCAATAGTTTGAGATGAAATGTCTAGATGAGGCCAAAAAGATTCTCGGTATGGAGATAAGTAGAGATAGGCAGAGAGGCAAGCTTTGTTTGACTCAGAAGCAATATCTGAGAAAGGTATTACAATGTTTTGGCATGAATGAAAATGTCAAACATTTGAAAGTTTGATGTATGCAATGGTGTGTACGTTTCCTGACATTTCACATGTAGTTGGAGTTGTGACCAAGTACATGCATAATACTAGAAAAAGAACATTGGCAAGATGTGAAATGGATTCTATAGTACCTCCAACAAACCGTAGATGTTGGTTTAGTTTTTTGTACAGGATAAAACACTTAGTCAATTGATAGTTGGATACGTTGATTCCGACTATGTTGGTGATTTGGATAAGCGTCGATCAACTATTGGGTATTTGTTTACTCTTGCTAAAGCCCCATTGAGTTGGAAGTCTACTTTACAGTCTACAGTGACTTTGTCTACTACATAGGCAGAGTATATAGTAGTTTTAGAGGCTGTGAAAGAAGCAATTTGGCTTAACAGGTTGATGGATGACTTGGGAGTTGTTCAAAGTCACATTAGTCTCTATTGTGATAGTCAGAGCGCTATTCACTTAGCGAAAAATCAAGTCTACTATTCAAGGACTAAGCATATCGACATGAGGTATCACTTTTTGCGTGAGATCTTTGAAGAATGAATTATTATACTTCAAAAGATTGCAACAGCAAAAAATCATGCAGATATGATGACCAAGGTTGTAACAATAATCAAGTTCAATAATTGTTTGAACTTAATTAACATCCTGAAAGTTTGAGCACTTTCGGGCATACGACGCTTGTGAGCGCAATTAGAGGCACTACATAATGACAACTTCATCAAATTTGAGGAGTTAAAGGATTTGAGTAGGTTTGGAAATATCAAGCCAAAGTGAAGATTTGTTATGTGTGGCTTGTATATATACAAGTTACAAGTTGAATAATCAGTGTTGGTCAAAATTGGTAGTCATCAAAGAATTCAAATTTTCTACAACTAAAAAAATTTAAGTTTGATTTTGCTACATAAGTTGGCTACACATATTGACAAGTTGTCAACTTGTATACATGAAAAATTATCATTTGGTCTCTAAACTATTAGGTTATTTGCAAAGTTGGTCCTTGATAATTAAGTAGGTTTGGAAATATCAAGCCAAAGTGAAGAGTTGTTAAATGTGGCTTGTATATTTACAATATACAAGTTGAAATCAACAAGTGTTAGTCAAAATTGAAAGCCATCAAAAAATTCAAATTCAATTTTGTTACCATTAAAGAATTTGAGTTTGATTTTGCTACATAAGTTAGCCATACAAATTGACAAGTTGATTCAAGTTGACAAGTCACAAGTTGATAACTTATCAACTTGAATCAACTTGTCAATTTGTATAACCAACTTATATAGCAAAATCAAACTCAAATTCTTTAGTGGTAGCAAAATTGAATTTAAATTCTTTGATGGCTATCAATTTTGACAACACTTGTTGATTATTCAACTTGTATCTTGTTAATATACAAGCCACACATAACTAACTAGGCCATAAACCTTATAAATCACCCATTAACCCAGTCCAAGTAAGTATGGTCCAGCGAAGCTAGTTGCCTCTTATTTATAAAGCCCCGCTCGTTCTCCCTTCTCTTCCTTGGCCGATGTGAGATTAGTTCTTTATCATAAATAGTTCTGTGTATGAATTTTCCCTGCTTACTGGTGAGACTGAATGAAGCCACGAAGGATTCACAAAGAATACATAAAACTTTAAATAAATTAGAATCTGTTTCCTTGTTTCTTTATCTGCTGAAAATGGTTGTAAAGCAGACATGGACTCGGTTTCGAATTGTCATAACCAAAATGAGATATCAGAGTCTGCAAAAGCTTTCCTCATGGCTGCCAAGAACGGATCTCTGCTGAAAAGTTAGTATCTTCCATGGATGCCAAGAACGGATCCAGTTCATACGTATTATTTTCAATATTCTCTTGCTTTTGCGGTGAGGCAATCCAATTTGCAGGACAACAACCAAGCATAACTTGGCTTCAACAGGTATGATTTGAAAATTTTCAGAATTTGGGCCTTTTTTTTGTTGCTATAAACGTTCATCCAAATTACTTGCTTTTGCAGTGAGATAGTTCACTGGCCATGGCAATAACTTGGATGATTTGAGAATGTTTACAAGGCACAATCACCAACCTAAAATTCCCAGGAATTATCTGTGAGAGTTTCAAGAAGTTTTTTTTTGTTTCTCAGCTCAGATAAGATTAATCCCTTTTCAACATTGAAGATTTCAGAAAGTGTTAATGGGACATTTGATGTTTAATCATCCCTGTAAGATCATCCAAGCTTCGAGGAATTTCACCCTTGAGGTTGCTGTAATGTTGTTGGAGAGGTCTAGGATTCGGAGACTGCTAAGACTCACATATCAACGAATGTTGATCCATCAATGGAATTGTTCCTAAGATCAAGTACTTGAAGAGAGGACAATTGAGAGAAGAAATCTGGGAATTCACCACTGATATTGTTGTCATGAAGATCAAGGTGTCATGAAGATAACTTACCCTTCGGTTCGATCTCGAGATTGTTGTTCCAATGCTGATCTGTTTCCTCCAAGGTGCAACTTCTAGTTCTTCAACTCCTTGAGGTCAAATAGCCATGTTGGTACCTCACCAGACAGCATATCGTTCTCCAGATGAAATGTCTACAGCTTCCTCAGCATCGGTATCGACGATGGGATTTCGCCACTCAAACAGTTCTTGCTCAAGTCTAATGTTGTTAGATTCACCAAGTTCCCAATGTCGACTGGAATCTCCATCGAAAGTTCATTGTTCTGCAGGATTAAAACTCCAAGCTTAGTTAGCTGCAATATTGAAGCTCAACTACTTCAAACTTGTAAGACCAACATCATCATTAGGTAATTCCCTATCAATCATATTACCATTGATATCAAGATGCACCAGTTCACTCAAATATCCCACTCCAATCCCTGAAATTTCACCTTGTATGGAATTGTAGGAAATGTCGAGCGACATCAAGATCTTAATCCGGAAAATCAATGCTAAAACAGCTGGAGTCTTTGCTGGTGTGGGAAAAACACTGGATAGATTCAGACGAATCACTTGTTGTGAAGATTAACTGGAACTACATTCCACCAGAGCCCACTGACAACGTCTTGAACTGGAATTCCATGTCTCTAAGCCACCAAGAAACAAATCTGTGGGAGCTGTCAGCTGTGTCTCTCATTGAGCTGCAAACTAGTATATCCTTGAACTCCAAGAGAGCTTCTCGTTGATCATGAAGGCATGGAAAGGAACCAACGAAGCTAAGACTTTGACCAAAAACTACATAGTATGATTTAGAAAGAATGCTTAAATTTGCCATCTTTTTAGCTTTTTGATGTTGAGTTTTCTTCACCTAAATCTGCTTCTGATTGATATCTGATTCAGACATGGTAGTCAAAGGGTGAGTCTGTTTCTAATGCAAAATATTGATGGGAAAGTGAAGAGAAATTGCATTTTTCCAGTAGGAAGGAATAATTTGTATTTATAGAGAGATGATTATGCTTCCTTACAAAGTATAGAAATTCCATTTCAGGATTTTGGAAACGTCGGTTCATGAGCTGCTAGACTCATCCATGAAAAGGGTGGGAATATTGTTGCGATAAGTGATGTCACAGGAGCCATAAAAAGAGAAAAATAATCCATATTCTCAGTCTACTCAACCATTTAAAAGAAAACAAGGGTGTTAATGGATTCCATGGCGGGGATTCTTTAGACCCCGAGTTGATTTAATCTCATCCCGACAGCACTGGGTGGCATCATCAACAACGGAAGCAGAAATTTTTCCAGTAGGAAGGAATCAGATTCTGTTTCCATGCTTCTTTATCTCATTGATCAAAATTGGTTGTAAATCAGACATGGACACGGTGAGAGTTTTATATCTGAGACACAATCACCAACCTAAAAATCCCAGTAAATTATCTGTGATAGTTTCAAGAAGCTTTTACTGTTTAGATTAAAATAATGACATTGAAATTTATTTTTAATGTGATTGATTTTGATTTAAATATCAGATTAGTTAATAATAATCAATTAAATTAGAGGTAATTAAGCAATAAAATAACATCTTTAAAAAATAAAATAAAAAATAATAACCAATAGGGTAAAGTACACAAATGGTCCCTCGACTGTAAGATACTACTTTACTAAGTCTCTCAACTATTAAAAGTTACAAAATGGTACCCTGACTATAGGACATTGTTTTTTGAGTCCTCAAACTATTAAAAGTTACAAAATAATCACCCGACTATTCATTGTGTTCCATTAAAAAATTGATGACACTTTGAGCTAAACGTTAACTTGTTGATTGTGATATGATATGATATGATATGATATGATATGATATGATATGATATGATATGATCCCAAAATCTCAAACGATTATCACATCCCAATCAGTAGATTAACATCTAGCTCAAAGTGTTATCGTCTTTTTAACAAAAAAGGACGAGTTTAGAACACAATGAATAGTCAGATGATCATTTTATAACTTTTAATGGTTGATGGACTCATTAAAGCAACATCACATATAGTCAGTGGATCATTTTGTAACTTTTAATAATCGGGAGACTCAATAAAATATGCACTATAGTTAGAGGACCATTTTTGTATTTTATCTTAACTAATAACATGTTGGTTTAAATTGTAAAGAGCTTCATTTTACAAAAATAAACAATTAATTTACAATTAATATTAGAGTGAACACATATCCTAAAGTAAGGATGGATCAGTCACTGCATTTGACGAAAGTTTGCAGAAAAAAATTATAACTAGAGGAGCACACAAGATTTTATATTAGAGTGAAAACTTGAACTAATAAAATTTGGAGGTAAACTTGAACTTATAAAATCTTAGGGGAAAAAAACAAATTTTCAATAAAAAAATACATAGATAAATCTAAAATATAAGGTAATATTAAATTTTTAGGGAACAACCGCCCCCACCTAGGTCCAACTGTTGGACAAAAATTAAGATTTTTTTTATCTTAAACACAAAGGGGTCTTACAAACAATGACATGTATTTTGTGATTTTTAGAAGGTTTAATACAAAAATAAGTGTCCAAATTATACTTCGAAAAATGTTTTAGTGCTTAAAGATTTTTTTGCTAGAAATATGTGTCTAATGTTTTAAACGTTACACTTTTAGGTCTCAGTCATTAACCGCCGTTAAAAATGCACATTAAGTGACATGTATCACGTTCTAGTAATTTTGAGAATTTATTTAAAAATTAAAAATATTATTTGTAAAAAAACAACAACACCCGTCCTCCCTCCCCTCCCCTTCTTCCTTCCCTCTTCCCCTTCCATAGCCGTCGGTGGGCCAACGGTGACCGTCACCACCACCGACATCGACCCACGATCAAATCTCCGTTGGTCTTTCGTCGTAATATACCATCGTTTGTCGTGGAGAAACGTACAAAGGTTCATTGGGTATCGTTGTCGTTCCGTCGATTCTAGCCGATTTCGACTTCCATAAGCCACACTACCTCCGCCATTCGAACCATCGTGCAATTCCGATGAAGACCCAACCATTCGACGATGATGATGACGGTCAGAGACGGCCAGCGACCGTTTGGGTTATGAAATTGAAATTGAGAATTAGGGATTTGGATTTTTGGGGATTTTAGATTTAAGGATTTTGGGTGACGGTAAGAACGGCGATTGATCAATGGGTGGATGGCGACGGGTGGATGGTCGTTCAACGATGACGATTGTGGCTGGAGATGGCTGTCAACGATTGGTAATGGGGTTGAAATGAGAGATTTTAATTTTTTATAATTTCAATAAAAATGGGTTTTTTATAAATAAATTAAACATTTTTATTTTTTTAATTAAAAAATAATATTTTTATTATTAAAAAATAAATAATAAACATCTAAAATATAACTGAGAAAACGTTAGACATCTATTTTTCACACAAAAAAAATCTTTAAACACTAAAATCTTTTTCGAGACATTTTAATAATTTATTTTTATAATAAACCTTTTTAGAATGCCCAAGTATGGTACTTGGAGTTTCGTTATTGCTTTTGATCTTAGGAGAGAGGGACATCGTGTCGTTGAATTGCCTGATTGTTCAGGCCAAAGTACAATGATCATTTCACCAAATCTCAATGCATTCCGACCCTATATGATCAGTCGACCATGGCTGTCCCTAGGCGAAGGGTAAAGTATGGATGCAAACACTATGGGACGATGAAAGAATATGGAGTTGGCAGATTTCCAACTTAAGAATAAACATTGCAATTTACTTGCTGAATTCAGGGTATCATATGATTCAACAAACAGCTGCCATAACTTTCTGAGGTCCTCAAATTGTATTAACTTTCTTCTCTTTCCCCCCTCCCAACCTTCTACATTCACATCTGAGAAGATTATATAGCAGAACAAACCCCACCAATAGTAAAGACCAAAAATACCTCAACAGCTTCAGTTTTTGAGCATTCTCTCTTCATCTCGGACCGTCAAGGTGTACACTCCAGAATTAGCAGACCGTCCGCCCGTAACAAATCGATGCAATGTAGAGATTTTTTGCCCATTTTTCCTGCAACAAGAACAACGGTAACAGAGAACAATCATCGGGTATTTAAAAATATAAACTCCGCGAAGCAAGAGGTCGAGCTTCTATAATAAAGAGAATAGACCGAGCAACACTTGGTGGTTAGCACTTATTTCTAATGCTTAAAGAAGCTAACCAGCATCGCCACAGGTGTTCAAAAATATCAAGGGGGCAAAAATCAGCTTGTACACACCTTAACATGGGTGCTAGGAAAGGCGGATGTGCGAAGAGTTTCCTGGGTTTCATCCATCGTTTTTCGTTTTGGAACACTTAGTATGAAGGCAGCTTGATCTACGGTTGCAGCCATTGATGTTATCCGGTAACCACTCTCCCACCGCCGATGTATTCCTTCGCTTGGATACAAAAAGTCGAGTTCCACAACCTGGATCATTGACATAAACATAAATTGAAGTTATAAACAGCTAGCTACTTTTTGTAAATGGAGAGCGGTGGGAAAACAAGGTGTACGTGAAGAGCAAAAGAAAGGAATACCTGATCGGAGAACCCAGCATTCCTCGACATAACCACACCCCACCGATTCCCGGAAGTTGTCATCGATGTTACATGAAAGCCCTCTTTCCACTTCTTATTTATCCATTTGAAGGGAAAAGATTCACTTACTTTGTACGACTGTTGAGTGTAAGGAGTTCCTACGAAGACATTTTGACAATGGCTCCGTAATTAGGTGATCAGTATGATTTATATTCTGTCGATAGAATCTGAGGAATGCAGGTTGCAAACTTGATGCTCAGTGAACTTTCTTGCTAAAAGTTTAATTAAAGAAAACAAGCCTTAATTCAACACTTTCTTTTCTCCACACAAGTTCTTAACGATGCAAATCTCCAGACGGGCACGCAAACCTATCACATCCGCCCTTGAATGACTATGATTAATCTCATGATGCTATAGATGTACACGCCTGCAGCATCTTGGCAACAGGTACAGGGATATGCACCTAAATTGCAAGTGTCTTGACCCTCCAAGCTAATTGTAATATTATGATATATGAATTTAATCATGCAATACTATGTTCTCAGAAAACTCGATGGCATGGGTATATATATATACATATAAGGAAATTACCAACCTTTCGACATAACAACCAAGGAACCCCCATTATTTGCTCCAGCTATTGAAGTAATATAGTAATTCTTTTCCCACTGCTCCATAATCCAATCCTGATGAAATCCAAATTGGTATTAAAGTCAGTCAAAATGCATGTAAACCGACAGGTAAAACGAGAGGAATTATTATTTTAGAATGATAACCTTGTGCAGAAAGACTGTTGACAATTCATAAACCTGGGAAGAGAAACCTGTTCCCGCATCCATGATCAGGGCCCAGAGATTGGCTGCTGAAGCCACACAACTAATAAACAATCCATCTTCATTTCCCTTATCCACATGCTGACGCAACCTCGAATCTGCTACATTGTAGTGATATCTACAAGATTGATAAACAGTTTCATAATGAAGATGAACAAACTTTATGTAGAACAAATTTCGAACCTCGTGACTGAACATCTCATATTTTTCACACAGAAGCATGCACCATAAAAACATCAAAAAGAGGTAATCTAGTTTGAGTGGACCACATTCAACTTTTAACAACCAGTCACAATGAGTAAAAGCATCTTTATCGTTTTTTAACTTTTGCAAACAATGAAAGTATTCTCCAAATATGCTACGATATTATTGTGAAGATGAAAACATTAAAAAAAATGATGAGATTAACTCAATACCTGAATAACTTACAGCAAATGTAAACCGTGCATACCACAAAATATAACCCGCAAACATGGAGAGGGGATATAGTAGCAATGAATATTACATTTAAAAAGAAAATGCAACTTTACCTCTGCTTCATAGGACGCCGTCCATTGTAAACAGAAATCCACTGAGTAGCAGGACTACCGAGTCGTACTTTTTTCTTAGGTTGCTCATCTTCTTCCAAGTTAATAACTAGCCTTCCCCGCTTTTGCCCAACCTATTTATAGAAAAGGAAACAGATTAAGATTGTTTATTTGAACACCCTATACAATCCAATTTAATTGAAGGAAATAAAAACCAAACAACTACCTTAAGGGCTCCATCAATTCTAATTGGTCTCAATGCTATGCATGGTTCAATTAGGCTTTCAAAGAAGGATATGAGCTTGGCATAATTGGGCTCCTCGTCGAACTTTAAATTTATAACAGCTTCAAGAAACTGCTTAAATGGGGCCGGACAAAAGCAACACATCAACTCCGGCGATGTGCCCATCTTTTTCTTGCAAACCATAAAACTCTTGTTATCTCCCTATGTGGTTCCAAGAAAAAGGGAGAATAATTCAGGAAGTAAATAAATCAGATTATGTACATCATTAATCAAAATGACAATTAAGAACCTGATAACCCTGCCACAGTAATCGCCCTTTTATCAGAAATATCAATGTGTATGCCAAGGACTCGAGGTCATCCCTTCGACTTCCTGTCCGTCCTAAATGAGCATGTACACTAGCATACCTAACTGTTCCCCTGATAGAAGAAATATCCAAAGATATAATACAAAGCATAAGCAGTAATCAGTGACATTTAAAACCCAAGTTTACGCACCTGAATACATCAGGCCTCTGATCATAATCAACATGTTTATCAGAGTGTGAATCTTTCCACCTAGAGGCTGATTCAAGAACATGCGAGTCAGGCAGTAATCAGTACCGAATCATTAATAGCATTTATTACATTTCAGTAAGACATGACAAAATAAAATCTCACAGAGATCTGACATCAAAGAGAATATACAATTCTACACTAGTAATTAACCATAACATGCTAAAGGCGGGCAGGTAAGAAAGAATATACAGTTAACAGGGAGGAGAGATCTGAGGCGAAGATACCTAAACCAAGATCAATAAGATATAGCTTCTTCTCATCGGCTGATCCAGGCTGACCCAGTAAAAAGTTTTCAGGCTTCACATCTCCATGCACAAACCTTTCTTCAACACAGACAATAGGCGGTTACAACCAGTTGCAGCTATGCAAAACTGAAGGGTGAATTTAATGAAGTGCAGAAAGTTACAATATGACCTACCCCTTTAAATGAAGCTTTTCGAGAATAGATATTGCCTCCACTGCGATGCAGGCAACCATATTTGGCGACATCCTGTCACAGTACATGTTGCAAAGCTGTAAGACTATGGTAGATACATGTACTCATGTGGACATGTATGGGTAAGTACAACAAAGAGAAAAGAGGAAGATTCTGTTTCTTACGATTGTCCTAGAGAATTCCAAACGTCCCAGAGACTCGGACCAAGCATATCCATTACCTGAAATATTCATTAAATTTCTTTACAATATATTAACTAAATTGGGAGTTAATATACTAATGAGCTAGAAACAAAAAATCACCAGAATATAGAAGTCTCCCTGGCGACCCTTGTAGTGCACCCCAGGAATCCCATAGCATCCATTTAGGGAACTTTTTTGAGGAGATCAAAAGGGAAAAAAGAGTCAGAATTTCTGAACTGCAATAAAATATGTAAATACCAAAGCTTGACACAATTTTTTGATAAAAATGCCATACCTGTAAACTTGCCACTCATACGGTGGACCATAATTGCAACCTTTACTGTTTCCGTGCTCTAACTTCAAGGCTACCTGTGATGAAAAAAATCTCGTAACATTAAACCCCAAATGGATTAACCTGGAAAGCCCTTAAACAGAGGCATGAATTCTAAGACATACCTCAATTGCATCTGGTCCAATTCTATCACTACCGCCGCTTACCCGTCGGCCAACATAAACTTGGCCAAAACCACCCTTACCCAGTTTTCTTTCTATCTTATATGTAGGAGAATTGCCCACTTGTACCTGCAACAAGAAATATAACGGTATTTAGCAAAAAGCTTCCTTAAGTTGAACGATTAACCAACTAGGAATTTAGTTGTTAAGAAACTAAGGACTAAAGGACAAGTGACCAAACATATACAGAAAAACCTACAACTTGATGCAGTTAAACATTCCTCACTTTCATGCAAACTCGAAACAGAAATGGTTTTCCAGATAGTTTCAAGCAAATTTGAAATGCGGAAATAAATAAATCACTAAATCTGAAATCGTAAAACCAATATAGTATTCAGCTCGTAACGGAAAAAATAAAATAAATATATTCAACAAAAAGGGAAAGGTTTAGTTAGTAATATGAAGCACCATCTCAGGAACCGGGGTTGTGGCTTCTTCTTCAACTCCCACTATTTTGTCACCACTCCCACCCTCCATTGCAATATCTTTATTCGCCACTACCTCTGCTCGGTTGAATACAGGTTCAGCAGCAGCCAAAGGTGCAGTCTCAGGAAGAACCTGATAATGCTCAGGGTCTAAACCAGCCAACCTAGCACCGCGGCCTCTACCAGCAGCTCTTAGCCTCGGAGGTACTGCCGGTGAGGGTCCTTTGTCTACACCTACAGCATTAACCCTTCCTCTTCCACCAACTCTCCTCCTGTTTCTGTTTTGAGCAGGCAGTTCCCAATTCTCCACTTGATCAATAAGTTGAGGAGGCAGCTCAGGATCACCAAGGAATTTCGATCTCCGGGCTCCACTTCGCAATTCTGGCATCCTCACTCCATGCAATTCATATTGCCTAACTTCCCTGCCCACCACTCCAGATCTGTAACCGAAAATGTTTGAACTTCACAAATATAGAACTAATAACACATGTAATAAGAAATGCGTCACACGTTTGTAAAGCTCTATAATCGACAACCAAGTATCTGAATTTTTTAACACAACCTAACGCAAACAACCAAGATTTAACAATAAAAACACAATCATTGAGAATATTATCAAAATGTGGAAACAAGAAATTCTTACTATAATCATCATCCACTAAATTTCTCAAAGTGGATACCAAGTAAATATTTAGCAAATAATCTGCAAAAGAGATTCTGTTTTTATCGAGTATCACATAGCTACAAAGCAAATGTAGATACATACATACAAAAATCAATGCAAGTGCATCACATATTTGTTAAAAATATCAAACTTCATAGATCGCCGCTATCAGTCATTTCTTTATCGAACAAAATAAACACCAATAATTTACAATATAAAAACTAATATTTGAGCTCATTGAATCTGTAAAAACAAAAACAAAACAAAGCTCGGTCACAAAAATCAAATTCCATCACCCCAATATATGATTTGAGCGATAGAAAACTTCAAAACTTCACATAAAAACGTTCCATTTTACAATCAGTTTGCATCAGATTCCCAGAAAGTAACAAAATTTCCAGCCCGATCATTCAAATTTTCATCAAATATAAATAATCAAGAGCAAAACTGATCATCGAAAAAGCTTTAAAAAAAACAAAAGAACTCACAGATCAAATATACTCAAAACAACCTGTTGGGTCAAGCTCAGATCCTCACGAAATGTCCAGAAAATTCAGTTTTAGGGCTCGATTCAAAAAAAACCAAGACTTGTTTTGGTGGTTGGGGGGGAGGCAACCATGTTCCTTTGATTCTGGGGGTGTAAAAACGAAGATACAAAATATGAAGAAATTCAGGGTGATCAACAGACAGGGAAAAAGAATTGAGAGTTTGATTGAAACAGAATGTAAAAGGAGCTACAAAAGAAGTTAATTAGGGGCAGATTTGGGCGAGTCTTTGTGGGTCAAACAAGAAGAAGATGGAAATGTGTAAAAGATTGTAACTGGCGGTGACTGTGGTGATCTATGATGTTGTTAGCTAGTTTATCAGCTATCAACATAAATATAAATGTCTTTCAAAAATCATTTTTAAAATGAAAAAAAAAATACTTTCATTTGAAAGTAAGTTTCTAATTTCTGATATTTTTTCTTCACAAAATATGTTATTTTTAGTAAATATTAATACATCTATTATCTATCTTACTTGAGTGAATTAAGCATTTAAAATGTATGCATAACAAAGATAACAATATGGAAAGTATTTGAGAATGCATAATTTATGGATTAAAAAAGTAGATATTTCTAACTAGATAGTTTCTGTAGATTGTAGGTAAGGAGATTAAGAGCTCTAAAATTTTTTGGTTTTTTTTTCTTCCTCATTATTTTTTTTATATTTCGGATTTTCTAAATTTGAAACATCATTTTCATTTGAGGATAAAGTGATTTTGACAATAAAATTTGAAGTAATTTGACCAAAAAATACCTTATTAAAAAATATTATCTATTAAACACCCATTTCTAACTATTTCCCGGTCTAATACCTTTTTCACGAGAGAGAAGGAGGCGTACGGCGGGAGATGCGTCTTAGTCGGTGGGAAGGAATGTGTGTCGCATGAAACGTGCTTTCTATCGTTTTAATGAATAGTGCATCCTAGGGAACGCACCTCCCTTGAATGGCGCGTCGTGCAGAATGTGTCTCTTATGTCCGATTTAGGGTTTCACATTACAATAATTATAGGGTTTTGTAATGGTTTTGTAATTAGTTTTAGGATTTTAGTGGTTTAGGGTGTTATATTTGTATGGTTTAGAATTTTTAAAGAAGTTTAGGGTTAAAATTGATTGTATATTAGAATGTTTGTATTTTTAAAGTATAGTAGGGTTAAAGTTGATTGTATGTTAGATTGTAAGAAATAAACGTTAAATATTTAATTGGAAAAATTATATAGATAAACGAAATGGTCATCTTGTAAAATAAACAAGTTGAAATCACATTAATTGAAACTAAAAGAAGATCAAGTAACTAAGTTGAAACATTAGAAAATATGATTACATGAGTGGTGGTCAACGGTTACGTGATGATGAAAGAGATTGACAGTTTCTCCTTTTGTGGCATGGATTTCTACAATGGTCACATCTTAAGTTTTATCTTGACGTCTTTCGAATATCCATATCACAATGAATTCGAGTGGATTTTGGACGACCTGGCTCCTTTAATAAGTCTAGATTTGGTATAATTGGAAGCCAAGTCTAAATCTCATTTGGGTCTTTGCCATTACCTATGGGGGAAATTCATATTCATATACCTTGAATACTTGTGAAAGTTGGTATACGGGATCCACATAATGCTTATAGTCTTGACAAGAAAATGAGCAAACTGCTATGACATGGGAGTATGGATACTTCAAAGCTTGAAAACCCCCACATTTACATCATATATCTCGTATATTAACTCTAAAAGAGTTATATTCAATCCCTTGCAGAGGTTGTGACATTTCTGTGACCCGAAATAATTCTTGAGTGCGAGAAAATCTTATTACGAACATGTTGTTTGATGCTGCAACCTTTTGCTGCATATCTGCTACTAATTTGGGTGATAAACATGACCGTTTTGTATCCAAGTAAGAGTTTGTCCCCCGAGCTTGGCAAAAATTTGACCCAAACGAAAATATGTCGTTTTAGCCAAAGTAGTAATTGGTAAATGATGAGTGCCCTTTAAGGTTGAATTGATTGCCTCAACCAAGTTGGTTGTCATATGTCCATATCGATATCCACTATCGTATGTGTTTGTCCATTTTTCTTTGTTGATTTCACTGATGTAATTATATATATGTTCATTTTTTCCTTGCAATTCTTGAAGCATAACCTCAAACGTTTGAGGTGAGAGTTCGTAACCTAAGCGAAATAAAGTAGTTAATATAAAAAAATGAAAATGAGTGAGAAATGAAATTGGAGAAAATGTAACATACACACGCACATAATTAATTGTCGATAATCATTCTTCTTATATATGCCATGATAGTTTGCAGCAATATGTTGAATACAGATACGATGTTAGACGTGTGGGGGTTTTCACATTAGACCCAAAGAGTCTATTGATGATTTGATCCATCTCCTCGTTCTGAAATGATACAAATATGTTCCCTCGTGATAACATGTAACCGTAGATTTCTCAGGAAAAAAACCCTAAGACTTTGTATCTTCTCCTTCAACAAGAGTAAAAGAAACGGGAAGAATGTTACGATTATCATCTTGGAAAACTGTCAATAATAAAACTTGTTTGTATTTTCTTTACAATAATGTAACATCAATTTAGACAACGGGTTTATAGTATTTCACTACATTAATGCATTGTGGGTAAGTCCAAAAAACACAGTGGAATTGGAATCGATCTCGAAGAACTCAATCATTATGGTAGGCATGGCAAGTTTCAAACTCAACTATTAACCAAAGATTCAGTCGTTGAACCAGGTTAAATCAACTGGGTAGTTCGTTGTAAGATGAATTTCATTCACCGTATAGTTTTATAATGGCATTCTGTTTTGCCTTCCATGTTTTTTTGTAGGAGATGGTGTACTCATATTGAGATTGTATTGCAGAAATCAGCACTGCAATAGGCATGTGGGAGCTTGTTCTTACCAAGGTCGTGATGGCTTGGCAAATCACGTTGGAGTCCAAGTTTGGATTGTCCAAGTAGATCCCATGTGCACAACATATATGGGGACTGCTTTATTTTGTTAGTTCTCATCTGTCGGTCTTCTTCCTCTTTGAAACACAAACCATTTAGTTACAGTCGTTATCACATTGGACACAATAACAAACATATTTTTCAGTGGTAGATCGATTGACTTTGGAATGAACAGAATTAAGAATATTATAATTCTTAATTGACATCATTGATTCTTCTTTATATGTGAACTTCATTCCACAATATAAATCACCATCATTAACTAATAAATGTCTTCCATAGTCTCCAAGATGAGGCATATTAGGAAATTCTGGCCCGTACATTGCATTATAATCAACTTTATACATGTGTGCTGGAGGTTCGTATTGTACCATATTTTTAGGAAATTCATTCGCATCATCATCAGAGTCCATGTTGAATTGTGATGACTCGGGTTTAAGAAATAATTCAGTTTTAACACCATCTGCTCCTGGCTCACGAAGAGGTTCTTCTGGAGGAGATGAGGGTTCTTTTGTGACTCCGATATTAGTTTAAACAAGTTCATAGATAAATGCCTTCCTCTCGAGCTTGAAAGATGTCACCATATGGGTTATGAATTGAGTGTTGTGTGGAAGGCATTGCCATATCGAGGTCAAAGGTGCTAGTAGATGAATGTCTCCCCTGGAATTGGAAGATATCTCTTTATTGAGGTCAAAAAGTGATAGATGAATGCCTTCCCCTGGAACTTGATGGTATGCTAACAGAAGGTGGGTTAGCCATTAATGACGTGAAATAATTACAAATTGTTTGAGTTGGACTGTCAACTTGATCAACTGGCTTATGCAAGCTATAGTGAGAAGATAAGGGCATACCCCAAACTGGATGCACGTCAACAAAAATGGCATACATTTTTGTAGTAGAGTTAGAATTTTGACTAGAAGCATCAACCATCATAGTAACATCATCGTCGTTTGAGGGATAGAAAGATATATATATTAACGAAAAAATTTCAGTCAGAAATATGTAATGCAGTGTAGCCAGTCTTCTACTGTTTCCAACACGAGCCTTCCTTAAGATTTTTGTGATTAAATCATGAAGAGTGATGTTTCTCCTGAAGGACAGAATGATATAATGATCTGATCAGAAAATAACCTCGTATTCATCTTTCCCAATTTCTCCATCATAGTAAATAACAGCTGATATATGAGCCATTTTCTTAGTTTGAGAGTTTGAGAGTTTCAAAGTTTGAAAGTTTACACATTTGAGAATTTGAGATTCAAAGATACAGAGTTTTATGATTGAAGAGTTTAAGAGATTGAAGGTCAAAGAACAATTCATGTCAATTATATGAAATGATAGAGATTCTCGGAATAATAATAGAATATATGCCTTTCATTTCGGATGGGATGGGACATTATGACATGGCAAAGATTCTCTGAATAATAATGGAAAATAATTCCCTGTAACTCGCCTTTCATTTTGGATGGGATGGAACACTATGACATGGCAGAAATTCACTAAATAATAATGAAAAACATTTCCCCTGGAACGTGCATTTCATTTCAGAAGGGATGGAACACTATGACAAGGCAGAGATTCTCTGAATAATAATGGAAAACACTTTCCCTGGAATGTGCCTTTCATTTCGGATGGGATATAATACTTTGACATGGAAGAGATTCTCTTAATAATAATGGAAAACGCTTCCCCTGGAACGTGTCTTTAATTTTGGATGGAATGGAACACTATGACATGGCAGAGATTCTCTGAAAATGGGGAAAACACTTCCCTGAAACGAATCTTTCTTTTTCTTTAGATTTTATATTATCCAACGTCAGACACTATATATATGAGAGATGAAGCAAGTAGTCCTCAGTACTTTGCCTTCTGTGTATCTTTCTGATTATGTTATCTATCATTTTCATAGACTTTTCCATCATTTTCAATGGTAGCTAAATATTCATTATATTATCTCCCAAATGATATATTATCTGAGATTTTACGTTGCAATGCTTTTAATTTTAATGAGGACTTTCTCCACCTTCGTTTAACTTGTTGGGACTTTTGCTTGGCATTAAATTGCATATTCATATTTGTAAATTTTTGACTTCATCGGTGTGCCTTAAAACCTTTGGATCATTCTAAATTGTTGCTCGTACGAAAGGCTAATGTTTTCATAAATCTAGATGTATTGTTTAGGGAATGCATAGTTCAGTGTTTTTCTAAATATTGTGTCAATGTTGAAATTGGTTTTCATAACTTTAAGCAAGCCTCTACCATGGGTGTCATCGAAGCAACTTACACTTTAGGCATACGATTGCTTCACATAAAAGAGAGGCTACAAGAAGGATATCAAGTGTTGTACAGACTAAACCCAATGCATATAAAGATGGAGCAAAAAGAGTTTTTCCACTACATAAGCATGACTATCTCAACTATTGCCAAAATTTTATCGGTTTTGTACATCGAAAAGGTTCCACAAACATATTGCTCATATGATCATACGTTTACAGGTTGCTTTTATTGTTTCTGGAATCGTGAAAGCAACATTGTACTGGATTTTGTTCTTAGTAGGACTAATTAAATTCAATATGAGATTTGTTATAGATGTGAACTATAAAAACAACAAACCATAAACATTACATTAAACAACAAACTATTAAACATGACATAAAGCATACCAAACCAACGAACCAGAAATAGCACACATATTTCACAAACCTTAAACAATAAATAAAAGCATACATGTACACCTAAAATAGTAAATAAAAGCATACACATACACCTAAAACATACTTTTCTTAATGATATTAAGATGACCAATTGCATTTGAACTATGATTCTGGTGTTCATCATCTATCTCTATGTTCCCGGACTCATTATGCTTAGTTTAGTTGGTAGTCGAACTCGAAGCGTCATCATCAACATCCTCAAACTCTACAAACAAATCCACATGAGATACAGAATGAGAGTAGTATGTTTCAGTCATACCACAAAGGTCGACATTATCACTAAGAATAAACCTCTTAAATGATACTGACAATCTATAATATAGTAAAAAGATTCTTCTTTTCCTCCCGAGTTTAACTTTCTTTCTATTTTAAGATTCAACTCCGCAAGTGAAATTTTTTTGTTGAAAAGCATGCTTAAATATTTGCAATAAAAAATATTTGTCTGAATAGTAGTAATCCTAGCTAAATAACTAAAGCTTTTGCCTGAATAGATTAAAATTAGCTTTTACCTCGCACACACATATATATAGGCCTTAGGAAGTTGTCCTGTAAAACAAGCCTACCCAAATTATTGTGTCTTGTTTGTCCTTGTTCGCAAAAAGACATTAAACATCATACAAAAACTTACTTTATATAAATACATAATAACGAAACAAAATAAGAGGCAAAAACCAATTAAGAGGAAAAATCATACTTTATATAAATACATAATAAAAATAAAATAAGAGGCAAATACATCATTGTAAACACACAATAAATAAAAAAATTGCTCTAAAAGAGTCAGATTCATCAATGTCTCTTGGAATGTGTTCCACAGAGTAGTGGTCATCTACTTCTAGGAGGGTTTTTTATTATATGATGCTCCTCATCATCCCTGTCATTGTCATCCTCTTCATCGTTGTCATCATCGTCCTCATCATCATCATCATCATCATCATTATCATCATCACTCCCAACAACATTGTCTCGATAAGGGTTGAATGATGATATATGACCTCTATAGAATAAGAACTCTGGAGTGTATGACTGACGATCCCACCACTCACTGAGAACTACGAAAATTGTGAAAAATCGGACATTGATGTCTATGACGCATACTACGATTGAGGTGTTTGTAGTAGAGGACCACCCGCAACATAATTCACGTAGAACTAAATGATGGATTCGTAAGCATAGTCAAAAAATATCCGTCAGTGGGTGTCATAAAATCCTACAGGCTCTGTGCGTAACCAAACGATAGTGGCATCTGAACTAACGATATGATATCTGGACTTGCAGATGTGGCATCTGAACCAGTTGTGGTGGCGTCTAAAACGGTGGTGTCCCCATGTGAATTAGAGGACAATGGATGAAAATCAACATCATTGGTTGCTAGTGTGATGGTTCTGGTGGCATAGTTGAGGATGACCTAGAACCACATGTTCTTCGTCTAGTAGCGGGGGGACGATGATGTTCTGACATCAGATGTTTTTGTCGACAACGATGAATTACCCCTCGTGTTTCTGCTGAAAGTATAGTTTCTCGTTTGCGTTGAACAATTCAATATAGCCATCTAAAATCATCAAACCATTTTTGTTATATATTATCGATGAGGCAAACGTTGATTTCGGTTCTCCCACATCGCCAACCAGTCTCTATGTTTCACCAACCAATTTACCTCATTCTTGCATCGTCTATCGATGTTATGCATATTATCAAGGTTCCTTGGTGCTTCTGGAATAAATTGTGTAAACCCAAATTGATGAAACACACGATCAGTCGGATGACACTCAACAATAACATAACAAATAAATTGCACAATCTCCACCCATACATCCAATATCCCACTAAAGTTAGGTGGGATGAAAACCCTCAATTTTTGATCCAAATATGGCAACCATTTAAACTAAAACAAAAATATAGATTTGTTTTCAAAATTAAAATGAAATTCAAATTATATAAATACAATTAAAATTAAAAAATGTACCTCTACACCAGTTTTGTGGTTAATGAGTAATCGAATATCTTGTAATTCTTGTGGGATATCACGATGATTTTTCCTATTAATCGAAAACATTATTTAAAAATAAATTTACTATTGATACCTTGAAAATAATGGAAAGACATATGGCTCATTCACGACCAGGCACAAAAAAGACATATGGTACCATGCCCACGATTGGAGAAGAATGAACAACCACTAATAGCATTCTTCTTATAATTAATAGCCCGACACATTTCTCTAAACAAAAATGCTAATACTGCAGACCCCCAACTCAATGTGTCGATTACTTCAAAACCGAACGGGTGCCTCAACCAAATACAATGGGCTTGGTTCTGAGATTTGTCAAGCATCAATATACCTCCAATGAGTTGTAGTATATATGTTCGGGGAAATGCTTTTGTCTCTCCTCCGAACAATTTTCGCGCAACTCTTTAAATTCACTTTTTAGCCACTCTAATGTTATTTGGCCACTGTTGAAAGTGGGAGGACAACTTCCAAGATACTCACTGTATAAACCCCCCCAATCATCATCTACTACACCATAAATGGTAGTTCTTCGATCGAGAGCCCTAGTTGCATTGAAACATCCTCTAGCGTAATGGTACACTCCCCACATGGTAGACAGAACGTGTGGCTTTGGCCTCTATCTCTCAATTAGTGTAGAAATCAGGGCGGATTCAAATTTACAACCTCCTTCAATTTTTGCTAAGTAAATGAATCCAGACATAGACAAATATGGCCAGATAAGCCTCGGTATTTTCATCTTCTTGTTGTGAATAAAAACTTATAATATACGATCATTTCCTCAACAAATAAATTCTAACCCTTAAAATTTGAACTACTATTTCAAAATTATTTAAATAAATTCAAATAAATAAATTCTAATAATTTATATAATATATAATCGATTTCATAATATTCATAAACTTAAAGAGAATATAGTTTTGTATTCTTACCATATCGATAAAATGACTCAAAATATGATCAGCATCCAATCGCAACAACACGTCTTCCATTTTTTAACTGTAATTAATAAATATTAACTAAATAAGTTTACAATTAAATAATCAAATAAAAAATAAATGTTAAAATAAAATAATAATAGAATAATTAATTACTTAAATAATAAAAATTTTAATGAATAAAATAATAAATTATAAAAATAATTTTACCTTACTAGATTGAAAATAGATAGGAATGAGAGATATTTATGTGTGATTTATGTGAGTTAGGGGAGGGGGAAGGTGTGCCCCATGGGATGCACCTTCCAGGGTTTTCAGAAACCCCGGTAAGGCACGTCCCTAAGGACGTGCCTTCCAGGGGTATTGGCGATTTTATCGGGTGTCAAAATGTGTTTCACCGAATGCGCCTCCTTCTCTCAAGTGTTAGATCAAGTAATATTTACGAAACGATGACTGACATGTAATATTTTATTTATACGGTGATTTTTTTATCAATTTGTCAAAATTTTACAATCCGTACATAAATTTACGACCGTCGACGAAGGAGATGGCGAATACGTATGGAATGAAAGAGTGGGTCGGTTGAAAAAGGTGACAGACACAAGCGACGGAGGTATCAAAAATCAGTACAAATGTGGGATGAAATTCTTGAATGATGAAATAATAAAAATAAGAAATTTAAAATTTTATCCTTAAATTATAAACATGGTTCGAATCAACGTACCATAGTTGTTCACTTTCTTTTTTTCTTATATAATAACATAAGAATTAATGTTTCATTTTTGCTGCTATAATAACATAAGAGATTATATTAAAAGGTGTGTATGCACGAGTTATCAACCTTTGGTCTATCGAGTTATCAACCTTTGATACTCCAAGTGCTTGGTCAAAATGTATGCAGGTTGAAATGTACTCTGCTTGCACCAGCCTCTTTTGTATCTTCTCTCGCATGCAGTGATAATCAACCTCAATATGCTTCACGCGTTCATGAAAAAATGGGTTAGCAATGATTTGCAACGCGGCTTTACTGTCACGAACAATCTTTGTTGATTCTCATTTTTTAACTCCAATCTCATCCAGCAACCCAATTAACCAAGCTACCTCTGTTGTTGTTATGGTCATACTTCTATGCTCAGCCTCCGCCGATGAACAAGCCATCGTGTTTTATGTCTTCGACTTTTAAAAAAATCAAAGAACCTCCTAACTGGATGCAAAAACTAGTAATTGATCATCTAGTTATGGGACAAGCAGACCAGTTAGAGTAACAAAAAACTAAAACTTGACAATTTCCAGGAGATTGCAACAAAATTTTCCGACCATGATCATGTTTCACATATTTCAAAGTGCAACCTCAAAATGGGATAGTTTTGATTGTTGCATGAACTGTCTAAGGTGATGAACAGCAAATGTGATATCTGATCAATCTACCTATTAATCTTTGATACGCAGTTTTGTCATCCATGAACCTATCTTCAACCTCCTTGGATACACCCTTATAACATTTAAGTAAGTCTTGTGTTCTGCTCAAGCGGTGTTAAACATGGTTTAGCTCCCCCAGTAATTAACTAATCTTCTACATAAATGAGCATCACCACAAATTTACTCCCTTGTCTTTTTGTAAACAGGGAATAATCATACTTTGTTTATATCCAGCAATAATCAAAGTCTCTGTTAACTTCTTATTCCACTGTCGTTACGTTTGCTTCAACCAATGAAGTGATTTATGCAATCTACAAACTAAATTCCCATTCTCACTGTAAAATCCCAAGTAGATCCGTATAGATGCACATCCGTCTGATGGAGAGTCCAGACAAGTTTGGTGGCAAGAGCCAGAACCAACCGAACATTAACAATTTTTGCCACGGGCGAGAAAGTATCTATGTAGTCAATTCCCTCTTTTTAACTATACCTTTTGATAAAAAGACGAGCTTTAATAACCAAAAATTAAATTTTATTCGATTCAAATAATATTTTTTTTAAAAATTGATTCAATTAACGGTTAAAAATCAATTAATTCGATTAAAAAAATTAATTCTATGATCGGATTAACAAATTGAACACCCTTACCCTCTGCGAGGCCTCTTGGGTTTTTGGCGGCTACTCTTTTCTTCAAGGCCCACGCCATTTATATCTACTTTCCTTTCTAGGGTTTTTCTTTCTCCTCCTCCATTTGCTCGGGTCTTACTTTCTCTCACTAAATCTACACCGCTGCCCCGTGACCATGGCCACAGTTGAAAGTATCCTCGCTAACTTCACATATCTGGGTGTTTCTTTGTTTTCTTTTTTTGTAGATTTGTTGATATTTCCTTTGTTGTCCTTTGTGATTTATTTTTAGTTAGATTAGCTTAGTAATATTTGTTTTTTTTTTGGGAATAATGTTTAGTGGGTCTTTGATTTTTTTATGGAAGATTTTGAATTTCTTGTTCTGAATGTATTTTTATTTGGATCTTCTGTTGAAAATTTATGCTATTTTTAGGTGTGGGTTTTAGTAGAGTTTATTGAAAGGTTCCTTTTTTAAAAATCTTTCTGCTTATTTTCAGTCTTCTTTTTCCATTATTTCCCCCCATATTTTATAGGTTTGGATGGTGGCTTTTTGAGCTTACGTATTTGATTGTGTTGGCTTTGGATCTTTGCTTGTTTTCTATTTGTATATATAGATGAATTTGATTTATGGGTTATATGGTTTTAATAGCTTGAAGTTGTAGTTTTGTTAGTTGCTTTAAGTGCTATGCCTTGGATATAGTTAAACATTTGTAGAACACAATTTTCGATTTTCCGGTTTCGTTTTAATCCTTCACTTCTACACTTTCAGAAGTTGCAGATTCACTAGAGAGTTTGTCTATGAATTCGCAACCCAAGACCAAGAAAGTTACCGAGCCTGTCAAGAAGGTAGTATTTAGACTATGAGATGTTCATTTATTGTTAGCCTATTAATTCACTTTGAGTATCTGTATTCGTTGCAATTTTTTGGGATGATTTAATTATTTAACAAGCTTAATGTTATCGACAGGATTTCGAAAGCGATAATGGCTCTTACATGTACCCGCAAACTTATGGTTATGTGCCACACGGGGCGTACTCCATGCCCAGTTCACCTCTTCCTCCTATGGGACTTGATGGTCATCTACATGCATTGCAGGAATACTATTATCCAAGTGCTTATTACCAAGCACCTCTGCAAACTAGTCGCACCAAATCTTCTCAAAGGGACATATCAACTTCAGGTGTATCTGATCAAGCTTCCTTATCCAATAAAACAAATACAGGAAATTTGAGCGCTATAGCAAGTGGTGGGGTTTTGAGTGGCAATAATGGATCAGAGTCACTAAAATCAACTTCCAAGGGCTCCTCTCTAAATCCCAATGCTTCCTATAATAGAGTAGGGCATCGGGATTCAACATTTAGCTATGATGGGGTCCAGCCTACTCCTTGGTTAGATATGTCAATATCTTCTAATGGGAAATCGAAATATACGGTAAATAGTTTATTCTCTTCATAATTAAAAGAAAACCTTTCATCTTGTAGGAATGGGAATCTTCATCCTTTCCTCGTACCATAGATTGATCCTTTATAGATATCTGGATTCTAACCCATACTGCCATACACGCACTAACACGGGTTCAAAGCTAGCGTAAATAGAATTATAGACATACTAAGTTATGCAGATAGATGTAAGATTTGTGTGTACCGTTGTTGATTGACCTAATTGTTCTAATGATCTGAATGCAGAATTTCCACAATGAACGACCGTCATCAGGTGCAGCCCAAGCATTTGGATACCTGAACCACGTGTACCCTAACAACATGGCCGACTGCCACTACGGAGATACCATTAGAAGGGGTTCTGGTTTTGGATCATATGGCTACTATACCTGGAAGAGAGGACAAGGGTGCTATAATGTTGGTAACAACAACAAATATAAGGATCATGGTTATGGAAAAGAGAATATGGATGGTTTAAATGAGCTGAACAAAGGACCTAGAGTAAAAGGGTGCAAGACCAAGGATGGTACAAAACTAGCTGTTGAAGACCTAAACATTCCACTGACTGAGAGCAATAAGGAGAACAGTGTTTCTCTTGTGCCAGATATGGAGCAGTATAATAAGGAAGATTTTCCTGAGAGTTATTCAAATGCAAAGTTTTTTGTCATTAAATCATACAGTGAGGATGATGTCCACAAAAGCGTCAAATACAATGTGTGGGCCAGTACATCTAACGGCAACAAGAAACTTGATGCAGCATTCCGCGAGGCCAAGGAGAAGTCTGATGCCTGCCCTGTTTTTCTATTGTTCTCAGTGAGTGTAATAAATGTTACCATTTGCCAGCTAGGACTTCTGGCTTACTGAGTATATGGTTTGCCTGTTTTTTACTTACCTGAACCCCTTTTCAGGTTAATACCAGTGGACAATTTGTTGGATTAGCAGAGATGGTTGGCCAAGTTGATTTTAACAAGACTGTAGAATATTGGCAACAAGACAAGTGGACTGGTTGCTTCCCTGTGAAGTGGCACATCATTAAGGATGTGCCAAACATGGCACTGAGGCACATAACACTTGAGAACAACGAGAGCAAGCCTGTCACTAATAGTAGGGACACCCAGGAGGTATTCTCCCTCCGTGTGTTTGATGTGTTGTTCTGCCTTTTGTTATATTCATCGTTCTCATTACAAAATGGTTGGTGCTGCTGTAGGTTTATTTTGAGCAGGGGGTTCAAATTCTCAAAATCTTTAAGGATCATTCCAGTAAGACGTGCATTCTTGATGATTTTGAATTTTATGAGGCTCGTCAAAAGACAATCCAAGAGAAAAAGGCTAAGCATCAGCAGTTCCAAAAAAAAGTATGTCCGACTCCAGATTAAATCTTGTTCCTGGATTTTGTTTTCTTCCCCGCTTATTTAACATACTTTCATGCTATTTTTTCATATGGAATCTTATATATATGCATAAACTGTTTAAAATATTAACTGCTTTTATTCTTACTAAACAGATTTTGAGGGGGGAACCTAATGATTCTGTTGTGATTGACAAGGAAAATGTGACAATAGAAAATAACACTTTGGAAAAACCTGTAGGGGAAGCCTTGTTAAAAGAGCCAACCGTTGTATCAACTGAGGTGTTAAAGGCTAATGGAGATGTGAAACCTATGGAAGAGAATGGATCAGTTACAGCTATTGAAGGTTGCCCCAAATCGGTTTCTGTTGCAAGTGTGTGCTAATTGACTTCATCGATTTGGAAGTAGTGTTGTACTTTTGGTTGGTTATTGACAAGCTAGCTGCTTCTAATCAGACATGTTGAGTCTCTGATTGGCTTCAACTGATCTATAGCTTATTCCTGAGGAGGAAGAATTGAGAGATGCCTTTCGGCATTTCCTTGTAGGCAAAATAGCAATTAGCAACATGGTGAAACTGAATGTGACTGCTGAATAGCATGAAGTTTTACTTTTTGTTTTTTCTTTCATTTCTCATCTGTTTTCCTTTTGTGTTTCTTAGTGAGAGAGAATAGCAATTAGTCTTGTTTGCATTTGATGACGGTGTGGGTTTTTGTTAACATTTCTAGCATAGGGAAGTGAAAGACTAGTATTTGAGACTTGGTACTGTTGTTCACAATCTATAGTTTATGGGGTGTAATAAACTTATCGTGTGAGAAATAAGCGAGCAATGTGTAATTCACTATGTTCCTATAGTTATCCATTAGAAACTAGAAAATATGCATCCCCTAAATTGCTAATGCCTCATCTACTTTAACTTTTTTATCTACTGTTCTTTTGGAATTTTAGTCATTTTGACAATCCCATCGTCACCATTGATGCTGCCTCTATAGTCGGGTGAACTTTTCGGTCTGCAGAGAAGATTCGAGTTCTAGCAGGTAAGTCGCAGCAAGAGGAAAGTTGGACTGGCTTTTACCTGCATAAGCTCATTGTTGGCTAAGCTAAAACAAATAACAAGGTTTGCACTATGCTTTTTTACTAGGTGATTTGAGCATTGGTAATTGATATTTCTGTTTTTACCTTTAAATATTTTGTAGGTGTTTGAAATTTTAGAGGAATTGGTAGAGGAAGGTTCTGAAAATACCAATATTCAGGATGATGAGCCACTGAGTACTGGTTCTGTGATTATTAATCCTCAGCTCGTAGTTAAGAGTACATCCATGAAGACGATTGAGAGCCTGTTTTTGGGGTTCTTCTAATCGAATTCTAAACTAAAGTAGGCTATCTACGTCAATAGGAGGCATCTTGATGTATGAATTGGTTGGATCTTGGGAGGAATCTTTTTTTCTTTATTTCAAATGTCATCTTTCAGATTGAGTTGAAATTTATACATCCTCCACCCGATTCAAACCCAACCCAAAAATACCCAAAAACAATACACCATCTGACTCAAACCCGGCCCACATTTTTTGAAATAAAACTCAAAGCCAACCAAACCCAAAAATAATATATAAAGGTTCTTATTACAATTATTCTTAAATATTTAAAGTAAAATTATATTTTTTTGTCGAGTTAAATCAAACATCTTTTATCCTAAACTTGAATCCAACATAATGCCCATCCCTAGTTGAACAGTGCTCCTAGAACTCTAGATATAATTTATCTTGTTTTCCTTTGTTCGCTGAGCGTGACAACAGCAGCCATTGTTGAGGACAATGAACTTTAACTAACCAGACTTGGCCATAAGGACAAACTGCTACCGGAAAGGGTCATCGAAAAGACCAGTTTTTCAACGTTCTTCCGAGCACCGTTCCTAGAGTGAATCTAAGTTGGAACAATATAGAAGCTTTCATCCTCAACTTCAGTCCACAAAGAAGTGAGGGCTACAATTATAATAAAAAAGAGGCCAAAAAACATTTTATAAGCCGTCTTCTTTCGTATTCTCTCGTTTTGGAACTCGAGAGTTCCTTTCTTGTTCACGGGATTGGCACCATTAGCCCCTTCGACATCAAGCTCGGCAGGGCTGTCATCTGTTGATGATACAGATTCACCATCAGTATAAGAACGGGCACGCTGATAACTATTGTGGTCTGTCATCCGACTGTATCGTTTCCCGGGGTAATCTGAGTTCAAATCGTTAGGGTCTTGAAGAGAACGGATGAGCCTCCTCGGAGTCGTAAAGAAGTTGTCTACGTTAATCCGAGAACGAGACATCTGAAGCACAAAAAGTGGCAATGCAAATGCAGTTTCTAAACAAAAAAATAAAAGGGCAAAAGCTAAATAAACAAGTAGAGATTTTACCTGAGGACTGGGAGTGGAACTTCTTGGTAACACATTTTCAGGACTTCCATTCAAGAATCCTGAAAATTCCTCGGTGAACTCGGTTCCATGATTGCAACGAAGGTCGGTAGGTGAATCGCAAACGGAACCTCCTTGAGCAACCGCAGAGAACAAACCATCTTTAAGCGATACATCTACACCTCCATTTTCATATCTCCAAAGCCTCCGATTCACACTCCTTTGATCCTGTTCCAAGTTGCAAGAAACTTGAGTCATTGAAATCGGAGACTCAAGAAATGAATCGTATTTCATAAAGGAATCAAGTGTCTGTGATTCGGGTGAAGCGGTTGCTGCAGATTCATCACTAGTTGCGCCTATGTTTCTCCTACGGTTGTGGTCTCTCCTAACAAAATTCAATCCGGTAACCGAACCACAACTGTTCTCAAATTTCGACCCTTCCTCTTGTGCTATTTTCTTTGCAGTTTGAGAAGCTTCATAAGCAGCCCCTTTAACATAAGCCATCTGATCAGATTGACACTTCTCCATCTCTTCAATAATCAACTCCACCTCAGAGTATATGCTCCTCGGATCCAACCACTTCATCAAGAAATTTATCATCTGTATCGCCGAAAACGTTTCTGCGAATTACCTTCAGCAAGCCCAACATTCGATATTCTCAACCCGGATTTTATCAACAATCTAGCATATGCTTCGACAATCAATGCATTACGCTTAGCTAAAGCCATAACTAGCCCCATGTGTGCATTGGTCTGAATAGACTTCTCCTCCAAGGCACCAGCTACATTTTGACAGACATGTTGACCATCTCATCCGAAGCAAAACGCCAGTTATCGGACTCTACAAGCGCCTTCAAGCAAAGGGCGGCGCCGGAACTCAAACTCTCTTGGGAACCCAAAAGAGATTCCGAAAGAGGCTTACAAAGCGAGTGGATGATATGCTTCCTCTTATCTTCCGGAGTGGTGGGATCAATCCCATATCTCGCAATCGCAGGTACGACTTTCGAACAGGCTTGTTGCAGAGGAAAAGAGCCTGCACTCGAAGCCAATGTCTTGATAATGGTGGACATTATACCATCCATCTGAGGAACAATCTTCACACCATGAACACGAGCAAGAACTTCGTAGAGCGAAATGGTGTATTCACCGGACACGAACCCGGTTTCTTTGGTCTCCGAAACTTGAGCAAGGAAGACTGGTATCGCCTTCGAATCCAAGTCTCACATATGATTTCAGTGCTTTCATTGCTGATTTTCGACTATCAGCATCTTTATCAAGATTAGCCAATTCTCGCCGCAATATTGGGCCAAGATTTCTACCCATCATTTACCTATAAAACACAGAACAGAACAGCCATTTAACTAAAACATTCATAAGGGGGGGAAATCCCAGAAAACTCGAGGAAAATACTTGGGAACATGAGAAAAATACAACAAACCAGAAAATCACACTCATTCCTCGGAAAATCTACTAACTAGTTGAATGCAAACTAAGAAGAAATCAAAGTTTAAAGTTATGAGTTTGCCGTTAGTTTCCTACATTTTCCAATGAACTTGAAACAAAATCAAACCTTCTTGATCTGGAGTGAAAAAAACAATTAAAAAAGGAAAACAAATACATGAAAAGAGTAGCCCAGTTTTAGCTCGAGAACTAAAATTGCTATAAAAATAACAAACAAACAAAAAGGAACCAACCTTTCAGTTTCTTCTCTCTCCTCGGTCTTCTTCTTCACTTGGCAAGCAAAGCCCTTCTCTTTCTAGTTTCTAACCAAGGTCGAATCTTGAAACATATACAAAAGAAGTTTCAAAGTAAATTTAAAAATTGGGGCTTTTAGTGATGTTTTTGGGGTTTACGTATTTCGGCTGGTATTTTAGGGTTCTTTTATTTTCAGTTTTTGTTATTTTGAATTTATTTGGGTTAGATCCCGCCGTATATTTTAAGGGGCTGTCTGAAAAACAGATGAAGGGATTTTGCCTTTTTGCGTTGAAATTCAAATTCTCTGTCCCTGATTCTGTGGGTCCCGCAGGGGAAGTCGATCCATTT